CCGCGCGGGGTGAAAGACCGAGGGGGAGGCGCCGGCCGCCCGGCCAGCACTTGCACAACCCGCCTTGACTCACCGCCGCCCGGCGCGGGGAGGGTCCCCGAGGGCCGGCCTCACCTCCAGGGCAGCCCCGGGCTCGGAGCGGCTGCCACGCGGGGTGGCCTCGCCGGAGTCAAACTCGCCGGCCGCGGCCAACCTGGGGCCGAGCCCTGGCCCAGGTACCGAGCACTCGTGCCAGCGGCCGCCAACTGCGGCCCAGGGTGGCCCCGGGCTCCGTCGCTCTGGCTGGAGGCGCTCGTCCGCGGGCGGGAAGAGGGTGTCCTCACATAGCGAGGGGACCTGCGATGCTGTCCCGCGCGTTAGTGCCCAGGCCCTGGCCGTGCCAGGTTGACCCCTCGGCCCTTAGAGAGGCAATTTGTGCAGAGGGTTTGGAATAAATCCTCCAAGTAGTTTTTCATTTTATAAAGGATGCATTTTACTCTCTTTCAGGAGAGACGTGGTGCCCTCTGGTCAATATTTGTTCTTTAGTTTCAACATCCTTAGAAGCATTAAAACCCTCCCTGTTAAATATTCTCCCAAAACGCAGCCCTGGTTAGGACAGGAAATATTTTAGCAGCCTGGTGGTCGCCTACTTACTCTGCGGCACTTCCCTGAAACCACTTTGAAAAACACCTACCGATTGTTTATGATGCAGTTTTATTTCAAACCCACATTGGAGGTTTGTTTTCAAAACAGCTAAGGTGAGTTGGCTGAGGAGTGGACAAAGGAAGAGAGTCAACAAAATTCTATAACGTCAGTGGCCAATTAAGTCAAAATGTTGTGATTAGTTGAGATATTTTGCCAACGTAATGAACAATTTACCGAGCTTATGTTTTACTCTTTCCATTCAAAGTTAAGAGTTCCACTCATCTGATCAAAGCAGTAAGAGGATGCCATTTTTGATTGAATGGGAATTAGTGATATGGCAAAGAAGTATCTTTTCTTAAGATTCCTTTTGTACAGTATCAGTTGTTTCTCTGTGGCCCAAATTAGAAAGAACCCATCTAGATGAACTGGCACCATATTGCTGCAGCCAGACCTGAACCAAGAGGAGGTAGGGGGAGAGGAAAGTGGCTGCCAGACAGGAAAAAAAAGAAAGAGTTGTTTGATTCTCAGACCAACCCTTTATTCTCAGGGCACTGGGCTGCTCTGAGCCCCCGGAAAAGACACCTGTGACTTCCCTCAGCCTCCTATAACTTCCCATGGATTCTATGGATTCTCCATCTGCTTTCCACTTTCTTTTTCAATCCTGTACCCATTTGAGTTCCAGCAGTGTTCAGGGTGCCAAGGATGATGCATTTAATTCCTACTGCCCCAGAGCTAGAAAAGCCAACTAGGAGATCTTCTGATTGGGCCAGTTTGATCAAAGGCTGTATAATCTCAGCTTCAATAAAGTCTTCTCCAGAGCCCCTCCTGCAGGAGCCATGTACTTGGCCATATGTGTGCTAGGTATCTGCGCACCCTGGATGGGGGAGGATTTTAGGGAACCGTGCTATCACCCGTCCCACGTTTGCATCCCCTCTTCAGCATTCCAGAGGAGAGGTCTTCCAGTCTTTGCTCCAAGTCTTCCAGTGATGGAGACAGCTCCTGGCTGAGCCTAATTGCCTTTGAACGGTTATTACCATCAAAAAAAATTTCCCCTACTATCACTGGCCTTTCATCCACTTATCCGAGAACACATTCTGCTGGTCCTTGCACACACTGTATGTTGAATAAATGTAGGGTATTTCAATACATTTTTATGGTGACTGTTTTTGCAACTACATGTTTTCATTTATTTGTTAGGTGTGTTTAAAAGTTGGCGTAAACATTCCTCCTCCCTCTCTCTCTTTTAATGATAAATCATGAACCTTAGTGTTCCAGATACCAGTAAAGAAAAACAGTTTGTTTTGGCATCCTGTCTCAGATTTCCTCATGATTACAAATACCGTAAATTCAGGTCAACTGATGTTTTTAACTTCAGTGCTTTGACATTTATTTCCATTAAAATAACTTCTCATAAGTTATTATGAAACATAGTAACTTATGAATAACATATTATATGTAAGTTATTATGTATAACTTATGTGTATAAATAATATTGAAAGGAGAAGTATTCATAGTTATTACCTCTGTGTGACAGAAGTAGAGACATCTACATTTTTCTTTGTATTTTTTTGTATTGTTCGATTTGTCCCTAGTGAAAATGTTTAATGAGAAAATAAAACAAATATTTCCTTTACACATTTTTTCTTGGTTTTTTTTTTTGCAGTTTTTGGCTGGGACTGAGTTTGAATCCGCCACCTTTGGCATATGGGGGCTGGTGCCCCACTCCTTTAAGCCACAGGCGCCACCCTTTTTCTTGTTTTTTTCTGTAAATAAAATTATGTTTTAAATTGCAGCTACATTGCGTATAATGTACACGTAAGTCCATTTCCTTGCCATGCTTCATGAGGAGACAGACTGTGTTTCATTCATCTTTCATTTATCTGTGTCTTCTCTCCTCTTTTCCAGAGGTTTTGCCAAGAAACTTACCCATAGTAGGTGCTCAATCAACAGTTACTGATTTAATTTCCTTTATTGAAATTCATTACTTTGTGTAAGCTTCATAAGACATTTATTTTAAAAAATCAGGTCAAAGGTCACCCTTTCTAATAAATAATTTCTCAGAATTTAGCACTTGTCGTTGGAGGTGGCGACTTGTTATTTCACCAAAAATATTTGCACTCCCCCTCTACGGTCTGCCAGCCCTTGCCTTCTCAACACATTCTTCCTAAAGCTCGATAAGGCCACAAGCCTCCATTCTGGTCAGTGAAAGGTGCCATGTGTCATCTCAGACAGGGCCCAGAAAAGCGACATGCCCTATTGATTGTCTCTGTTCTCTCTTCTCTTGTCTGGCCCTGGTGGAGCCTTCATCTGCCTGGGCCCCACCAGTGATTGACTTTATGTAAATGAGTAATAAAATTCCACTGGATTAAGCTACTGAGATTTGGAGAATTCCAGGGAACAAAAGTTAATGTTACCTTAACACTAACAGCAGCAAACAAATCACTAACTCCTAGAAAAGACTGAAAAATATTTTGACCACGATTGGAAGAAGAGCTAATAATGCAAGTACGTAGGTCCTTACCTTCTTAAAAATTAAACTTTTCTGAGCAGCTTGTTTGATACAAATGAACATTTATATTTACATCCTGACAAAGAGACCGGGAAAAATGAAAAACAAAGAAATGGGGCAGCATTTATCTTCTGATTGCTTTGAAAAGATACCAGTAGAATTGGTTGAGAAAATGAAAAAGGTTAGTTTGTCAGCCAGTGTTTTCAGGTAAAAAGGATCTGATTTTTTAAATTTGGTGGTTGCAAAGCCATGAGTCAATCTCATTAAATTTGATAAAAATAATACAGGTCCCACTAACTGAATTACAGCTAAAATTCCTGGTTATGCACACCAATTGGGTGCAGACAGAGATGGTCATATGAAAGAGCCCTTTGCAATTGGTTGCCAGGATGTGCCTGAAATTGCTGCCTAACTGGGGTGTCTTTTGAGGATGGATATGGGTGGGTTTATTACAATTATCTGAAATGCAACTTAGTTAACCCAGGATATTGTTGTTGATTTTTATTTTGATATTTCAACCTCATGTGCTTATTTTTTGGCTATACTATAAGCATAGCATTAACTGCAGTGGAAAATTTTAGCAATGATGGCATTAAATATTACATGTGCTCATTTATATAGAGTACTACTGAAAGATGTCAAATTGTTAAACAGAAAGTTTAAGGAAGTTAAAGTATTCTTTGGTATATCTGTAATTTAAAAAACAAAAAAGCTTGCCTGGAATGTTTACTTAACTCTCTTGTTAATGATTCATGTCTAGACTTAAAATTCCTTAAAGAAAATGTCTTTGTGGCGTCTATAGCTCAAGGGGCTAAGGTGACAGCTTAAGGCTCTGTCTCAAAAAATAAAAAAATAAATGTCTTTGTGTGTTCTCCTATGGTAGGTAGTAGGATGTCTTATTCACGCCATAAGTGCGCTTTTGAAATTTAACCATAATTAAACTGGAGTTTTAAGAGTAGGTTACTATCACTGTACTACCTTGGACAAATTACTTACTGTGTTTCAATTTCTTATCTGTAAAATACAGATAATAATAGTACTTGCTTCATAAGATTATTGTAAGAATTGAATAAGATAATATATGTAAAGTTCTTAGGAGAATACCTGGCACAGAGTATGTATTATATAGGTCAGCTACTCTTACTATTATTTTTTGTTATCATTACCAAATGGCTTATATTTCTTAAAAAATTCTTTGTAAATGAAATAGAGTTATCACATTGATTTAGTTGACATTTCACAGGTGTTTTATCTAAATAAGTTGATTATCAGTGTCTCCGTGTCTATGACTTTTTACCCTCATTTTCCCTACCAGTTAATACTCTATGTAAAAAACTGAGAAACTAAATCTGTGCTGTAAATGAACTAGAAGTGCTGACATAAAAATTAAACAATGAAGTGTAAGAAAGTCAATTAGTATTTTGTCACGTTAAAAGTTCATTCTAAGTGGTCTGTTTGGTAATTTTTTTATCTTAAAATATATCGTTTTCTTAAATTGACTTTGTGTTTTCAGTCCCTAGGGGTGAACAGCCAATGAGAGACCCAAAGGTGTTGCCAACTCGGGCCAGAAATTCTGCAAAGGAGCACCCTGGGGAGGAAGAGCAGTAGAAATAATGGGATTCGGTCAGTGACAGGAGAGAAAGAAAAGAATGTTTATGCATGTGCTAAAAGGCTTCTAATATTTCCCATTTTTAAAATCTTTGCTTGATAAAATGACATTTGTTTCCATCAGTTTAGGGGTCTCTAACAAAGTGCCGCAGACTAGGTGGCTCATAAACAAGAGGAATTTAATTTTTGCAGTTCTGGAAGCTGGAAGTCTGAAATTCGGGAGCTAGCATGGTCAGAGTCTGGTGATAGCCCGTCTTCTTCCAGGTCACAGAGTGCCATCTGCTCATTGTAACCTCAGTGGAGGAAAGAGGGCTAGAGAGTTCTCCATGTCCCTTTTATACAGTCCCATTCATGAGGACTCCTCACTTTGTGACCTGATTACCACCCAAAGGTCTCACCTCCTAATACCAACACAGAGGGGGTTAAGATTTCAACAAATACATTGGGGGAGGAGGCAAACATTCAATCCCTAATATCATCCGGCACTCAAGGCAGTTACCGGTGACACGTCTTGATTACTTGCTTTTTCTAACCAGTCAATTCCCTGCTCCTGTCAATTGTCGTGACCCATTTACTAGATCACATCTCACATTTGTCCCTTTCTATTTCATTCCCAAGCACCTAACCCATAGACTACAGAAAGAGCTTTAAAATCTTAGTTTATGAATGAATGAATTTACAAATGGAAATGATAGGTGTTAATTATAGGTACTTTAGAAAAATCAAGTAAGCAAAAAGAAGAAAAACATATTGTCTTTAATCTGACCACTTTGAAATAAGCACAGTTAACATTTTGATATAAATACCTCTGCATATGTGTATGTGTGTGTGTGTGTTAAAGGAACCTGCTGCAATAGTTTGTAATTAACTGCATATCATAAATATTTGTCATATCAATAGACTTTGACAAGATTGTTTCTATTAACTGTATGTTGTTCTATTCTGTCAATATAATACCATTTATGTATTCAACTTCCTGTTATTAGTATGCAGGCTATTTCTAATCTTTTACTTTTATAAACTTCTTTGTGATAAGCACCCATTCTTAATTATTTTTATAAGTAAGTTCATAAAAGAAGATTTGTAGTGCCACAGCCCACACATATTTTTAGGGTGTTCGATAATAAGCCAAATGCAATATACCTTCTTAATTTGTACCCACAAGTTCTTTTCTCCCCTTGGCCATCTGGTGACCACAGCTGAATATCACTGTGGGATGGCCAAGGGGAGTACCTTGCAGATAACTGGGGTGATATTCAGCAATGAGGTATGTAGCACTTTCTCTAGGATGAGTTTGCAGAGTTAATGTCAGAACTCTGTATGACAAGAGCTCTGTTGGTCATTCAGGAAAAAGAGTTCCAAAATTGCCTTGAAGGGCGCTGGTGTGAGTGCAGAGCCTCCCGAGGGGAGTACTTTGAAGATGACCGTAGTAACATTCTCCTCGGAGGTATGTAACATTTTTTTCTAGGATGAGCTCGTGAACTTCATTGTCCAACTTTGTGTTCCTTAGCACTACCAGATGGTTTGTAAAGAACCCTCATCATGTCACTTCCCACCCCCCAAATTTTCCAGGACTCAAAATTTCCTGTTCAGCCGTCAAGGTCCCTGTAATCGGCGCCCAACCTGCCCTTCTAGAGTCATCTCTTGCCGTTCTCCCTACGCTACCCTGCAGCCCATGCTTTTGCTTCTGCTGTTACTGCCACCTGGAATACTCTCAATTTCCACCCATCTCCACCCACATGAGATACGATCCCTTTTATAAACACTCCTAGCCCTGTGTATGTAGCTCATGTGTGGCATTTACCATGTTCTGTTCTATGTCTCTTGCTTTTCGTGTACTCAGCTTATCCCCCTTCCTACACCACAAGGGCTTATAAGCCTGGGAAAATCCTCCAGGTCCCCCAAGGCAGCAGTGTAGTTGTCAGAATTGACTTGGTTATCTTATAGGAACAATAACCCTCATGTCTCAGAGCCTAAAAACAGGACAGATTTATTTCTCTTCGTGCCCTATGTCCATCTCAGGCCAGCAGGGGCCTCTGTTGCATGGCATCCTCACTCTGGGGTTCAGGGGACCCCTCCATGTGAAAATGATGGGACAGGAAGGGGAACAGACAGCTGGAGGGTCTCGCACTAGCAATTAATCGTTCCTGTCTGGAGGTGATATTACTGCCTACAAGCCACTGGCCAAAATTAGTCATATGGCTCTACTGGAAGGGAAGGGCAGAGAACAGCGATCCTTCTATACATCTGGGAGAAGGGGAGATCATATTAGGGAAGCATGAAGTCTCTGCCAGGGTAGCTGGCATGGTGCCTTGTGTATAATGGACGGTCCACAGACCTATTGGAAGAATGAGCAAATGACTATAGTAGAACTTGTTTCTTTTTCAAATTAACTTTAATTTTTATAAGTAGGGGAAGATGAACATATACTTTCCTATTAAGTATAAATGCTTATATGGAATACAGATATAATTTTTCTGTTTCTGTTTAAAGCAGAAAGGATGGAATCAGAGAAATGTGACCACCCAGTACTTTTGGGAGAAGTAGGAACTGCATCAAAGTCACGCAAATTAACGAGGTAAAAAAGAGTGTCCAAAACTGTTAGAGGATGAAGACAGTCCAACAGGAGGGGCAGCCCTGTTGAAGACCCTTCTGAGACTGGCCTTGCCTGTAACGTGGAAAAGTGGAAGAAAACACATATCCTGGCAAGGTGCTTTCAGATAGCAGGTGAAACTCTACCATGGACGTGGCATAACTAGACCAAGGACTGAGTTCTGTTCCCCTGGAAAACTGTGTTCCAACCAAGAGTCTCTCAATTTATAACCCAGAACCTGCAACCTCAATGGATCCTTTTCTTTTGTGACTAATAAGATTGTCATCACTCTAGAAAGGTCAAACATTACGTTTAGAAAACTGAATGAAACCCATAGCCTTACTATTTTTGAAGTGAATTTAAATGTGAGTATAACACTATTATAATACTATAATTATTGTTAGAGTTACTACAACATGTGTGTTTTTCACTAAAGATAATTTGTCACATTAGGTTTGCAGCTTTATTGAAATGTTCAAAACACCTCATCCAGGTTTGAAATCAGCATTTAAATATTCAAGGCACTTGGTTCATGAAGTGTGTAGTTTGACATTAGTTCCATAATAGTGTTTAAATATCTGGGGAGATGTGCTTAATAGATGTAAAAGCTTAATATACTGGACATTAAACAAAACTAAGTAATGGCGAGTGCTCTTTCTACACCAGTATCCTGTGAGACGCTAAGGATCCTAGCAACAGACAAGTCCAGTAGATTTATTAGACTCTACCTTGGAGCAAAAATGCGTGATGGCTGGCTATTACTGTTGAAAACAAAATCCAAACTAATGTGCTTTGCAGGAAAACCTAGTTAGAAACTACACGGGTTACCTTCTGTATGCATGTCTCTTGACAAGGGTTAGTATTCATTTTGCAGCTTGATTAGGTTTGGACCATTGGGAGATGCTTTCCTGTGTTCGCCGCTCAAATAATAATCCCAAGGTTTGTTCCTTTAAGGCACTTCTGAGGTCAAGCTTTCTAAAGTGAGGGGCATTGAGAGGTGAGGATTTTAGACAAAGAGTAGGCCAAGCAACTTGAGTGATCCAAAGACTTTTAAGAAAAGCAAAGATTAATGTTTGCTTTTGTATTGTGCTGATGCTAAGCCCTTCCAGCTCCCCTCCAATGTTCATTTAAGTTTCTTTATAAACAAAAAAGAACGTGAATAGTTTTGAGGTCTAAAATACATAGTTTCACTTCCTATAGCTACCATGGCAGCACAATGAACATTGCCAATGACGCTAATGTCATGTAATTAATGGGTATGTCAGAGATTCTTTCTTGCTGTGGATAACAGACAATGTTCAGTTATTTTTCTAGACTAAGCACTTCAGCTTGCTACTTGCCTGGCTGATCTAAGATGCTCTGAGGATTCTCAGAGGGCTTATGAGCTAATAGCACTCAGGGGTTTAGTGTCCTGAGGAACTCTAATCCTCTGCTTCCTGACTCCCACCTAAGCCAGGGCCTTCTGTCAGATGCTGGGAGGGACAGGCAGTTTGAAAGCAGCCATTCTGCTCCACTTTTGGGGGTCGTGTGAGGCACCAATCAAGGGTTTCCTTACTGACCAGGATGTATTCCCTGCCTGCCCCTCTGCCTTAGGTAGGGCTCTGAGGGTCTTCCTTTCTGAACAGCATTAGCAAAGCAAGCCATACCATGGGTGAGCTAAGCCAAGCCTCCGTGGAGAAATATCTGGAGGAGAACCCTCGGTTTGCCAAGGAGTACTTCGACAGGAAGCTGCGGGTAGAGGCCCTGGGAGAAATCTTTAAGAAGAGCCGGGTGTCCATCCAGGCCAGTATGTCTTTCCCTGAGCTGACGCAGGTGGAGGAGTCGGCCCTGTGCTTGGAGCTGCTGCAGATGGTGCAGGAGGAGGTGGCTGGCCCAGAGCTGGCAGCTCACAGGGTCCTGCAGAGGCTGGCCCAGCTGTTGCAGGCTGACCGCTGCAGCCTGTTCCTGTGCCGGGCCCGCAACGGCACACCTGAGGTGGCTTCCAGGCTGCTGAATGTCACTCCCACCTCCAAGTTTGAGGACAACCTGGTAGCCCCTGACAGAGAAGTTGTGTTTCCACTGGACATTGGGATAGTGGGTTGGATTGCCCACACGAAGAAAGCCCTTAATGTCCTAGATGTTAAAAAGGTAGGTGGCCTTATAACGGTGGGGTCAGGGAGGAATCAGTGGGAAACAGAGATGATGCCATCCTTGTAGCACTAGTTTGGCTATAACCTGGGAATGCAGGCAGTGAGGAAAAGGGGCACCCAGGCCCAGAGTTCCCAGATCTAGCAAATAAAAATACAAAGTTTCCAGCTAAACTTGAATTTCAGATAAATGATGAGCAATTGTTTTAGTATAAGCATGTTCCATGTAATGTTTGGCATTATGTCAGGCAGTCCTACCTAGGCCTGGTGCATTCCCCATCTCCCTTGCAAACTTTTCTGGTGCTCTGGGAACTTTATTTCTCCACGCCTCTCATTCACAGCCCTTTGAAGACATTAGTTCTTTGGGGTGGATTGATTCTAAATTTACTTATTCATCTATAGATCAAATGTGCAGGAAAAAAAATGATGCCTTTTGAAAGTTGAGATGTTGGTATCTGGATTATTATAAATGTAAATTTAAGTGATGGTTAAAAGCAGTTGACTCTCCCCCTTAACTCAGATCTATCAAGAACGAATTTCAATCTTGGTTTGTTTTTTTTTTGTTTTTTTTTTGAGACAGAGCCTCAAGCTGTCCCCCTGGGTAGAGTGCTGTGGCATTACAGCTCACAGCAACCTCCAACTCCTGGGCTCAAGCGAGTCTCCTGCCTCCACCTCCCAAGTAGCTGGGACCACAGGCGCCCGCCACAACGCCTGGCTATTTTTTGGTTGCAGCCGTCATTGTTGTTTGGCCGGTCCGGGCTGGGGATTCGAACCCGCCACCTTAGGTGCACATGGCTGGCGCCTTAGCTGGTTGAGCTATAGGCGCCAAGCCGAATTTCAATCTTGTAAATGGGACATCTGAACCAATAAATGGGACATCTGAACCAATAAATGGGACATCCGAACTCATGAGTTGAAAAATCAACTCATTCTTTTTACCATTACAATACATGTTCATTTTAGAAAAATTAATGCTGGATGTGGTGGCTCATGCCTGTAATCCCAGCACTTTGGGAGGCCAAGGTGGAGGATCTTGTAAAGCTAGGAGTTCAAGACCAGCCTGGGCAACATAATAAGACCCCCATCTCTACAAAAAATAGAAAAATTAGCCTCAAGAGGCTGAGGCGAGAGGATGGCTTGAGCCCAGGAGTTTGTGAGCTATGATGATGCCTCTGTACTCCAGCCCTGGTAACAGACTAAAGCTCTGTCTCAAAAGAAAAACAAAGGGAAGAAAAGAAAAATTATAAAATACAAGTAAACAAAAAGGAAGAAATGCTAATTCCCCATAATCCCTGCTCTCGGCAGTGATCATGGGTTTCTCCTGGCAGCCCTTTCACCACGTATGTTCCATGATTACAATTTACTATTAATAAAAGGGAAGAAATGGGTTAGGATGGAAGAGCATTGAATGAGAGCAGCTTGTGAAAGGCTTTCTGTGCAGGGGTGAATAGGAGCAGCTGGAGAGGCAGGAAGATAATCCCTTAAATGCCTCCTGAAGCTGATTACCGGGGGTGGGGGGCGGGGGGGGGGTGCTGTGTCACTCAGACCCGGGAGGTACAGAAGTCATCAACCAGGAACAACACTCAGCAAACAGCCCAGACACCCCTCAGGTGCAAGGGTTGCTGCGGGGCCCTGCAGAGTCTTCAGTCTTTAGAATCCCTCCCTTTAGGGAGTCTAAGCTACTTGAAGTTTGCTTTTGCAGCGGCTTTAGGCAGCTAAATACACTGATACGTGCCCTGAAGGCTGGAAGGCCACGTCCCACACCTGCGGCTTTCCTATTCGAATATGCTTCTTGATAGTCTCCAGCTGAGCTCATCTTTGTCAAACTTAAGGAAGTAACATTCAATAAATTTTTTTTCCAAATTTTTTTTGAAAAGGGTAGAATAATGGGTAAAATAATTTCTGCCATAATACTTTAATGAGCCCCGTTCTTCATGTTGAGGAAAAAATAATAGAATGGAGCTGCGTGGAAGATGAGGTGCTTTGGTCTGTCGCTGTCCCTGGTGAGCATCACAGCACAGACAGGGCAGTACAGTGCACCGGCAGGGTTGGGGGAGGTCCGTCCTCCTTCTCCCGAGGATTCCTGGCTATTACGGGTGGCACATAGAAAGATGCGCTGGAGACAGACAGACACCCTTCTGAGCTGGGAGGAAGGACGAAGGCCTCATTTGCTTTCCATTTTTATTGCTTCTAAACATTCCTTTTCTTTCTAGAATGGTGCTTTTCAACTCTGGCTGAACATTAAAATCAGATTGGTAACTTTTTTAAAAACCACACCTCTGAGACTCTCAGAGGTGGGGATGCAGGCATTAGTATTTTTAAAAAGCTCCCCAGGTCATTTCACTGTACAGCCAATGTTGAAAACCATCAGTCCATGGGTGAGCACGTACAGGAAGAGGATGAGAATTTCAAGTCAACTGTGGAATATGAGACAAAGAAAAAGGCTTATTGAGTCTTCAGTCCAACTCTGGTCTGTGGCAGACCGGAGGGTGAAGATACTGGCGTTGCGTCGGCCCTGGAGTCCATGACCCACATCAGTGAATGGCTCGGGCCAGGGTGGAGGCGCTCGGCCCTGCGTCCTGTGCTCTTTCCTCTCCGCTCACACCCGTGCAGTCTCACCCTGCTTTAGCCACTGCGGTATCATTTGCAATGAGAAAGGAGGCAGAATCCAATGTTTCAGATGAAATTTCTGAGTAATTTTTCACCTTTTCATAGCACTTGGGAATTGATAAAGCATTTTTTTCTCACTCTTAATCTTCTTTGATTCTGATAAAGACCCTGTGCCGGAGGCAGAGAACATACATGTTTTTACTTTAGCCTACATGTAGGACCCTGCCCAAGGTCAGGCAAGCAGGATGCGTCTGGTCTAGGACAATGACCCAGGTCTCTGAGGCCTCTCTTTTCCCACCACATCACTGACCATGAACAACTTGTCTGTGGTTAGCAGTGTGGGCACAGTGTGGTTAGCCGTGTCTTCTCACCCTAGACAAAGAGGCAGAGTCTGAAACTCCTGACCTGGGAGGCCTGGGAAGGTAACAGGGGAGCCACACGGCACGGGCAGAGGACCCTGGCATCAGGAGGACCTGGGTGCGGGCCCATGCCTGTGGCTCAGTAACTATGCGATGGGTTGAGTTTCCGCACCTAAGAGATGGAGATGAGCAAATGTGCCTGACTGTGTGCCTGACTCATAGTAGACGCTGATAGATGATAGCTATGACAACATTGTTGTTATGCCAGTGGGGGGCTGAGGGAGGAATGTGGTTAGCTGAAAAGGGTCAATGATTATTACCTGTTTTAAAACAGGTTAAAGGTGCCCGTAGCATGGTGGTTGGGGGAGGTCTGTCCTCCTTTCTCCGGAGGATTCCTGGCTATTACAGGTGGCAGCTAAACAACAATAACTGCAATAGAAAATATACCCTGGCATTGTGGCAGACACCTATAGTCCCAGCTACTTGGGAGGCTGAGGCAAGAGAATTGCTTAAGCCCAAGAGTTTGAGGTTGCTGTGAGCTGTGATAGTACGGCAATCTAGATAGTAGGGCGACATAGGGAGGCTCTGTCTCAAAAAACAAATAAATGAAAGTAAAAATAAAACAGATTAAAGGCAGGAAAACTTTTTAACAACAGGAAACTGAGAGATACCCTCTTCAAAGTGTTTCTTTCTCTCTTGGGACAGCCATCCATTCACTGTATGGATGGTTCTGATTCTGACTGGGAGTTGAAAGTCCTCTTTCCTCTTCCTGCCCTCCCTCCTCTCTGCCTCCTGATCGCAAGGTTGAGTCGTGTTTACTCAGGATTTAGCAACAGCCAGATCCATGCAGGCCCAGGCCTCATGCTGCTCTAAACAACGTTCTCTGGGGGCCTTCAGGGGCTTCTTTGAAGAAGGACCACAAAGAAACACCTCCACAGGATTTGCTCAAAGAAGTTTCACTGAGGATTGTTTAAGGAGTAAAATTAAAAATCTAAAAAGCCTCCTCTCCCCCTTGGTATCACTGAATGGGTGGGTTATCCAGTGCTTTCAGAAGCTGTAATAAACAAGCATTACATTTTGAGACTTAGCCATTGTCTCAAAACAGCCCATCGAACTTAAGGACATTTCCTTGTATGTAGAATCTGGAATAAAACGGCATCCAGTGTGGAAGCTGCAGAGTGACATGGGCTTGCAAAGAATCGGTGCTTGGCTTCAGCTCATGGTGCCTGTTTCTGGCATTTTGATTATTCCTTGAATGCCCAAGATGGCTTGTACTGGTGGGAGGGAAACTGACTGAGAGCTGGCCCGGACAAGCAATGGATTAAGAGAGAGATTCTGACAAAGCCTGGAGACACTTCGCCCTAAGGGTGAAGAAGCTACAGGGAACAGAGTGGACTAAGAGATAATGTGGTTAGAAGAGAAATGTGGCTTGTGGTGGGGGCAGAATGCTGGCCGGCTGGAGGAGGGAGCTTCCAGGAATAGGAGGCCTACGTCCACCTAGTGGCATCCAATTTCCTCAGTGATTAGAATTGCTTAGAAAAGCTAAAACTAGAAGCAAAATGGTAATTGCAAAAGGACTACTTGCTTCTCTTCCAGGAAGGCCTAAAAAAGTACCAAGTTTCTCTTCCCCAGAGTTATTGAGCACCTGGTGTGTGTCAGATACTTTTCTAAGTGCCCTGCGTACCCTGTGTTATTCTGTCTTCACATCAGAGACTCTAGGCCATGGACAATAACATTAGCTCGATTTTCTGATTAGAAAATGAGGACATGGAGGATAAATCACATGCTCAGGATCACACAGATAGTAAATTGGGGCCTGGGTGCAGCCAACAGAGCCAGACTCTGGAAATTTCGTCTTTATGCGATGCTGCCTCTTAAATAAATATCTGGTTTGTGTGTTTGCACTTTGGGAAAAGAGATCTGGGGTGAGGGGTGAATTTGATCTCCTTTGCATGGCAAGTTTCCTCTGCCAATGGTACCATGTCTAGGGATCCTCTCCAGGAGGGCTGCACCCATCGGGTTGAACACAGGAATTACCTGGAGCACTTGAAAGTACAAATTCCACTTCAGGATTAGGAGAGTCTGTTGTGAGGTCTTGGAATCTGTGTAATCTGTGGGTGATTCTGAGGCCAGGCTGGGGACTGCTGCTCTGAGCTAAGCTGTGCGAGTTCTGTCCACCCAGCAGCTCTTGTTCCCTGATGGAAACCTGATTTGGAAATCACACACAATGGACTCTCACATTTTTAACTTTGGGAAACCCAACAGAATCCAGCCTCTAAGATTTGTGCTGCCTTTAGAAGGACCTTCAACACAGGGGAATGAAAATCATACAGCCTGTGAAAAGAGCACCACATTGATTTTAGCCAATGAGTCTTAGACTCAGGCTGAAAGCTCAGTTCTAATGGGGGAAGACTCAGTTTTTACAAAGGGAAAAATCTCAGGACTCAAGGGAGTCTCAGTCTAAACCCATCTAGAGCGGTGTTCTTTGAAGTTACAGCTACTAAGATCACTGCCTTCCTTGACCTTCTCAAGCCCTTCCATTTGCGTCCTTCTCCAGACTGGTCACTCCGCCCTGGCCCTGGCCAGAGTATCTACTTCTCTTGCATCTACTCTATGAGGCCGGTAACTGGAAAGATCCACTTTCCTCTCTCTCAAAGAAAGAAATAAAAAATATGAATAAAAGACATTACTTTGGTAAAACTTAAAAAAAAAAAAACCTGACAAGTATTTGATGCTGGCAAGAGGTCCTCTCACACAGGGCCAGTGGAAGTAAGAATTTCAATCTTTTGTAAAAGTAAGCTATGTAAATAAAAACTGCATATGCCTATTGGTCCAACAAAAGGGATTTCCACTTTGGGGAATCCATCAGGTAAGAATAAAAGCAAGAATGATGAGCGCAGTTGTGCAGTATTGTTTGCAGCATGGAAAACTGTAAATAGACTGAATGAGTAGGGGATAGCTGAGTGGATCGCAGAGCTCTCACTGTGGAGTCGTGCACAAGAATCTAAGTGATGAGTTCACATCCATATGCACAGGTCTCGGAGGAAGTCCTTAAGACATTGTTCGATGGGGAACACATCATATAAATTTAGAAAAAGAAAAATAGACGATCTCCTATTTTATAAAAAAGGAAAAATAGAGAATTTTCTGTTTTATAAAATAGAAAAGAAAAATCTTTGTCCAAGCACAGAGAGAGGCATAGAAGGAGATAATGTCAAGCAGTTAACACCGATTTCCTCAAGTAGGCAGGATTGGAAAGAATTTGGGTGGATCATTCATTTTTTCTTTATGTTACGATGTATGGGTTGATGGTTTCAAGTGCACATTTTACTTTTGTAATTAGAGATGGCAGCTCTATGTGCTCTGTCTGTGATCCCAGCTGTGCTCTCCTCCCCTGCACATACCTCCTGTCCCTTGCAAACTTCCTGTCCATTGCAATCCCAAGCCCGTCCCTCCCCCACTCTTAGTGTCCCACTTTCACTTGGGATGTGACACCACTTCTTTTCTCCTGGCCCTACCTCAGCCTGATCTAGATATGCCACAACTCAGGTGGGAAATGCTCATTTTGAAATGGGAGGTTTTGTTCTATTCAGTCCTAGGGTGGCCTGTACAGTGGAATGTTTGTTGGGATCCTGGGGCCCTGGTTACTTGTCAGTACTACTGGATTAGGGGACCGATCTGTCACCACCCCTTGGTGTACTACTGGATGATTCCGTGCCGCTCTGAATATCTTTTTCAGAACAGCCACTTTTCTGACTTCATGGATAAGCAAACCGGGTATGTCACCAAGAATCTGCTTGCAGCTCCCGTCACAATGGGCAAGGAGGTTCTTGCTGTGGTTATGGCAGTTAACAAAGTACATGCACCTGAATTTTCCAAACAGGATGAAGAGGTAATGCTAACCTGGGCATCTTGTCAGAAGCTCTGGAAATTTGTTTGTTGTACAACTGAAGGAAAGATGTCACAACTATAATTTATTCTTCCCTGCCATCTGTAGGTCTTTTTCAAATACCTCAACTTTGTTGCTGTCATCCTAAAGCTTCATCATACCAACTACCTGTACAGTGTTGAATCTCGGAGAAGCCAGGTAAAAAGAAGGTGACATTAATCACTCCATTCTGGCCTGTTTTGACAAAGGGACCCAGAACCACAAGCCCAGACCTCTTCTACTCCTACCCTATGGGGGCATAAGCCATGTGGAGCAGATCCCCAAAGTTCAGTCCCACGTGTACTCTCATGACTGTCCCCTCAGTCCTCCTCCTCACCCCCCAGCTCTCCAGCTGTATGTACAGTCATCTAGATCCTGGTTGACCTTGGTGCCTTCATCTATGAGATGGTGATGACAATTACAGTTCCTGCTTCTCATGGCAGCTGCTATTAAATGGTCACTAGGTCTTGTGTAAAGCCCTTTGCAGTTCCTGGCTCATAGTGAAGCTATTAATTTGAGAGGAAAATCACTCCTCTGAAGTCTCTTGCTTCCATGAGGGAGAGGGATAAAGAACAGCATTAGAATCCACAGACGTAGGTCTGGACCACTCCGTGGACCTCGGTTTCTTTATTGAAGAGGTTGCAGTTGGGATGTAGGTCCCTTTCCATTCAGACTCTCCAGGTCAGGCTACCTCTGACCACTGTCAGATGCAAGAAAGGAATTATGGGGCTTTTCTCCCTTCAGGGCTAGCAGGACCCCATGGGCTACTAGTGCTGGATCCTCTGCATCCCATTTTAGGGCACTTGCCCTTTGGAATCAAAACATTTGGACATGGGGACGAATCATTGCTTTTCCCTTTCATACACCCGCAGCCATGTGAAATCTACTCATCATCCCTCCTAGAGAATCTGAATATCTTGTTGGATGTGAACACATGTTCAAAACTAGAGCTGCGTTTTCTGGCAATATGTATTTATTTTATTAGAAGCACCTCATGTTTTCTTTTGGCTAATGCCCTATTTGTGTATTTTGTGCTAACAATTTTCTTTCTATTATCTGCTTTCAGATCCTCATGTGGTCCGCCAATAAAGTTTTTGAAGAACTCACGGACGTTGAGCGACAATTTCACAAAGCACTCTACACAGTTAGGACATATCTGAACTGTGAGCGCTACTCCGTTGGACTGCTGGACATGACCAAGGAGAAGGTCCTTATTATTCCGTACAATTTGCCACATCTAAAATCACCTATGAAATGCATTAATAATGAGTACATTATGACTAATATTTAAATATTAGTCATGATGTATCATAAGAACAGAGTAAAAGTGTGTATTTTGGAGCAAAAAAGATACAGGCTTAACTCTTGGCTTTTCCACTTTCTAGCTTTGTCCTTGTCAGGTCCTTTTTCTTTTTAAAAATAAATTAATAGATATAATTTTTCATAGAAGTTTTAGGTTTACAGAAAAATTCTGCTTAATCTGCCACTTTCCCCTACTGCTACGTATTAACATTCTGCTTTAACATCGTATGATGAGCCAGTATTGATACGTTCTTATTAACTAAAGTCCACAGTCTACGTTTGGGCTCATTTTTATGTTGTCCTGTGGGTTTGGGCAAATGCTTGAAATGTCCTATATCTGCTATCACCATATCCACAGAATCATTTCAATGCCCTAAATATCCTCTGTGCTCCATGTTTTTCTCCTTCCCTGTCGTTCTCCAAACTTCTGGAAGCTACTGATGTTTTTACTGCCTTTCTAGTTTCACATTTTCCAGAATATCATGTAGTTAGATATCACTCTGTAGCTTTTTCAGCCTGGCTTTTCTCTTAGCAATACGCATCTAAGTTTCTTCCATGTCTTTTCATGGCTCGATAGCTCATTTCCTTTTAATCACTGAATAATATTCCCTTGCATGGCAGTTTGTTGATCCATTCACCTGTTATAGGATTTCGTAGTTGCTTCTAATTATTAATTAAATTATTAATTTATTATTAATAAAGCTTTTGTACACGTATGTAGCATTTTTTCTAGAGTTTGAGAACCTAATTATCAGACCTTGTATAGGCGTGTAGTGGTATCTTACAGTTGTTTTAACTTGCAGTTCCCTAACGATAGATGCTGTTGAACATCTTTTCATACGTTTACTTGCCATGAATATAGTTTCAGTGAGTTGTCTGTTCAGATCTTTTGCCCACTTTTTGACTTGTTTTTTTTTCTAATTGTTTAGTTTTAAGAGTTCTTTGTCTATTTTTACATACAAGTTCTTTATTGAATATGTGTTTTGCAAATATTTTCTTCCGGGCTGTGACTCATTTTTTTCATTCTCTTAACAGTGTCTTCTGTAGAGTTTTTCATTTTAATGAAGTCCAATTTTTGAATTATTTTTCATGAATTGTGCTTTTGGTGTTGTATCTAAAAACTTGTCAAACTTAAATTCATGGCTGGATGTGATGGCTCATCCCTGTAATCTCAGCACTTCAGGGGGCCAAGATCGGAGGATCCTTTGAGCCCAGGAGTTGAGATCAGCCTGGGCAACATAGCACGATATCATTTCAAAAAAAGAAAATAGAATTATCTGGATGTGGTGGTACATGCCCATAGTCCCAGCTACTCCAGATACTGAGGCAGGAGAATCGTTTGAGCCCAGGTATTTGAGGTTGCAGGGAGCTATGATCACAACGCTGCACTCTAGCCTGGGCAACAGAGTGAGACCCTGTCTCAAAAACAAAAGTATAAACAAAAACTCAAGTTCATCTGGATTTTTCTCCTATGTCATTTTCTAGAATTTTTATAGGTTGTGTTCAACATTTAAGTCTGTATCTGGCTTCACTGTTTTTTGCCTGTGGATGTTCAGTTATTCCAAAAAAAAAAAAGGTGTTGAAAAGACCATCCTTTCACCATTGCCTTTGCTCCTTTGCCAGAGATCAGTTGACTATATTTGTGTGGGTCTCATTCTGGGCTATTTGGTTCTATTGATTTATTTGTCAATTCTTTCATCAATGCCACACTGTTTTGACTACTGTAGCTTTATAGTAAGTCTTAAACTCAAGTCGTGTCAGTTCTCTGACTTCATTTTTCTTTTCAGCAAGTCTTTTTATCTCCCTGATTCTTGGCTTCCTCATCTATAAAGTGAGAACATATCTCTTGTCAGCTGTGAGGATTATATGTGTGTATATATATATAGAGAGAGAGAGAGAGAGAAAGAGTCCAGACATAGTAGGTACATGATAAGTGATATTATCACTATCAACTTGATGTTTTGTAATTTCAAAAATTTTAAGTTACTTTGTAGTAGAAATAATGAAACATTTAATATTATTCACAACATAATGCTCATTTCTCATTTTGTTTAATTCCATTGGAACCCTTCTAGTTCAATATAACTATTAACTATAACTACCAAATATTAGTTATAGTTATTACTATCCATGTAATTGGACGTTATTTTTTCAGAGTAATTTTTCTAAGTGGATAAATATAGGACCAAGCAATAGGAGAGCTGAATTCTGATCCTGGTTCTAGAACTTTCTAGCAGAGTACATTGGTTAGGAAGATGCCTTTGACTGCAAAGAGCATCAGACCCAGCTAAAAGTATCTTTAATGATATGATGGTCATTATCTCATTTAACAAGAAGTCCTAAGGTAGGGCAGTTCTATGACTAGTAAATCCAGAACTCAATACAGTCATCGAAGTTCCAGGGGCTTTCAACATTTCTTCCTGGCAAGGTCTCAACTCCCTGTCTCCTAGTGAGGTTTCCTCTTGTGGTGGCAAGATGGCTGTGGCTCCCTCAGCAGGCTTCTCCTCCTTCTTCACTGTCCACAGATTGGCCACATACCTGCCCTCAAACTACTCTAGGCACCTCACATGGACCACTCAGGGGCTGTGCAGGGCTCATTTTCCCTAACAGGAAATCACTACCTGATATTCAAATAAGATCAGGTTCTGCTAGCAATGAAGGGGAGAGAATGGATGTTGGGTTAGGCATCCAACACTGTCAGCCACTCTGTGTGACTTTGGCCAAGCATGCTAATCAACCTGGATTTAGTTTAATTGTATAAGTAAGCTATTATACATCGAGTACTTTGAACTATGTGCCAGGGTAAGTAGGTGTATGGTGTGTATTATTCATTTGATCCTCACAACAACTCTTTAGTATAAATGCTATTGTTATAATCACTTTACAGACGATAAAAGGTTAAGTGATGTGTTCATAGTCACAGATTCATAAGCAGCATTGCTGGGAATTATAGATCTTTTCAGCACTACAATTCCAGAACTATACAGATTAACATAAAATACACAAACACATAAAATTCATGTAAGATATGGTAGGTCATGGCACCATTTTTTAAATCATGTTTAAATATAATTGCCTCCAGGAATTCTACGATGAATGGCCAATCAAACTTGGAGAAGTTGAGCCTTATAAAGGTCCAAAGACACCAGATGGCAGGGTAAGTGCAAGTGCCTTCCTTGATGCCCTGTGTATCTAGTATCTAGGTGCTAAAACAAGAGCCTGCAGCTCACAGGGAAGGGAGCACTGTCCTGGGTTTGGCCCCTATAACTTTCTGTGGGATTCTGGAACAGTAGAAAGAGCTCTGGACAGGAGTTTGAGGTTTAGGTTCCAGCTCTGTCCCAGGCCAGCTGTGCGGCCTTTACCTTAACTCACTGTTTAACTTCTCCTTTTCCTATTCTGTAAAGCCAGGGCCTGTAGATAAGCTGCTCTCAGCAGGGAGGGATGCCTCAGAGCCACCTGTGCACGTTTTGAAGACACACTTGAGCCCTTCTTCAGAAATGTGGGGTTGGAATCTCCCCTCCAGGGAAGGGTTGGGTTAGATATACTTGCCCCTTCAACTGCAAGCTTCATAAGGGTAGGAACTATGTTTGTCTTAATTAGCCACTGAATCCCCAGGCCACAGGAAAGAGACGTTAATGGGATGGACTGTGTCCAGGCCTCAGGTTTGCCATCTGTCTCGTGAAGTGGAGAGATTAGTTCAATTCCCTTCCAGATCTGACAACGTATTCTCCTGGTTTTTTTGTTTGTTTGTTTGTTTTTATAGACAGAGTCTCACTATGTCACCCTGCGTAGAGTACTGTAGCATCACAGCTCACAGCAACCTCAAACTATTGGGCCCAAGCGATTCTCTTGCCTCAGCCTCCCAAGTCCCTGTAGCTGGGACTACAGGTGCTGGCCACAACACCTGGCTATTTTTTTGGTTGTACTTGTCATTATTGTTTGGCAGTCCCCGGCTGGGTTCAAACCTGCCAACAACTCTGGTATATGTGGCTGGCGCTCTAGCTGCTGAGCTATAGGCGCTGAGCCGTATCCTCCTATTTCTAAAGCACTTGTTCAGATAAGGCAGTGTTGAAAGCGGGTTGTGTGCTTGCTGTATACAATGTATAATGGCTGCAGTTGAGAAATTACATGATTTGTTCTAGTCATTAATGTCAGGTACTTTTAGATAATGAAAAGGATTAGTTAAAAATAAAAACAGAAACTAGCTGATAATTTGGTAGCTAAAGATCCCCCCATCCTAAAGATGTTTAAGGGAATTCAATTTTTATTTTTTTGTTTCAGTTTTTTTTTAATCGTTTGGGATTCATTGAGGGTAGAAAGAGGGAATTCAATTTTTAAAACACTAAATTTAATTCTGCTTTTTACATGTAGATAAATAGCCAGTAATATTTCTGGTTTTATTACAAGCTTATAATCAGGATATGAATAGTTAGATAATTTATGTTATTGAAAAATGTGGTTGGGAAATAAGGTACTATTTGAAAGAATTTTAAGATGGAAGCTCTTCAGTAAAAAATGTTTTCTTTGGGAGATAATATTGTTCTCATAATCTTCCCTATTTCCTTCTTAGGAAATCATCTTTTATAAAATCATTGACTACATTTTACATGGAAAAGAAGAGATCAAAGTGATTCCGTGAGCATTGTCGCTAAGTAGCTCAGGAGTTCCCATTTTGTTTTTGCACACAGTGTGTTTCTGTATATAGCAATGACTTTCTTTCTTCTGATCTTCCCCAAGGACACCTCCTGCAGACCACTGGACCCTTGTCAGTGGGTTGCCAACATATGTTGCTGAAAATGGATTTGTAAGTTATTGAACAAATTCAACTTTTAAATAATATTGCATAAAAATCTTATTAGCTGAGAGATAGATTCAGTTGTGAAAGCAGGAATACACCAGGTCAGGGTGAGATGGCCACTTCCATTGGCACAAGACAAAGACGAGAAGAATCTTGGCAGTTGAATGTAGGTTAACTGGAGACTTCTAAACTCTACATGAAAATATTTAATTAGAGCGAGAAAGATTTATCCATCCTTCAACTTCTTATTCTGCAGCCACACAAACTGCAGATGCCCTTTGAAAGTCAATGACTACAATTCATTCTAGATTTAATTCTATCTCAAGTAACTTGGCTGAGGTTTTGGAGAGAGAGGGACAGAGACACAGAGAGAGTCCGGGAGATGTGGGACTTCTGAACATTGAGTTAAAAGCTTGGGCCTCTAAGAGATCTTGATTCATCTATAAATATTTTCTAGAGGACTCAAAGTATGAACTAAAACACGTATCGCTGATGGAAAGGACAGAAGAGAGAAATAAGCTGATTTTGCCTCTTCAAGGCACACTCCAAGGATGCTCAGCCCACCGAATAATGCAATTCATTCGAGTTAGATCATGAAATTAACGGGTGGCATGAAAGAGCCCTTCAATTCTTAGGGTACATACATTTGTAAAAACTTGGAAGGATTTTCACATTTTTATTTTGTTGTTGTTTATCTATAAAGGTTTATTGTGCCCCAAGGGGCAGGGCCTTCAGTCCTTCCCAGCTGCTTTCCTCCTGGCGGCCAGGACGTCACTCAGCAGCTCCCGCCTCCTTTTAGCACAGCTGTGTGTCCCCACTCTTTTCTTGATGAACCTGAGGGCCAGTTTGCCCTTGGAGATCTTGAGCAGCTCCACGAGCACGCTGCTCATAGGGGACAAAGCCACACACCTCTCCATCGTGTCCCGCAGGAACTTTGTGTTTGGTGAGGCGCATGCAGCGGCAGCTGTGCCTCGATTTGCTCAAGTTCTTGGTCACCTTGTGGCCCTTGTTGAGGCCCACGGCCATGGGGTAGGGTGGAGCCAGTGCTGGACAGCAGCTGGAATCTCCCCTGGCTGCCACCGCGGGCACATTTTCTTTGCAAGAGTAGCCCAAAGATAGTTGAGGTGGTTCCACTCTTAGAAAGCACTTAACGCCAGCTGAGCTGAGGGGCTGGCGGGATTTGCTGCAGTGGGTGGGACCCCCGGTGGGACTCCCCTTTCACCCCCTCCACCCCCCTCAGAACTGGTCAGATTGTTAGACTTTCAGGACTTTTGTGAGCAAGTTATTGAACATTTAGCAGCTTGCAATCCTCCACGTTGGGATTATTTACACTGTAGAAAGTGGCAACTGATTTAAACCAGGGATTTCCCCGACTCCTGGCCAGGAGGGCTGATTTCACCAGCATCCTCTTTCTGGAGATCACGGTTCTAGTTTCATACCATGAATTTGAAAAAAAAAAAAAAATCTCTTAAACTCTTTGGGCTTCTTCCCTTTCCTCAGCTTTAAAAGAAAAAGGTTGAACTTAATCACCAAGATCCCTTCTAGATTTAAAATGCTACATATTTAAAATATGTAATTTTTATGGGAAGAAAGAGAGAGTCTTTTACTACAATTCATATGTGGATATGACTCAACATACGGATAACTCAAAAATGACCAAAAATGGAATGATTTTTTATCCTTATGGATGTGAGCCATAGGCTCTGAATTTCAGTAATGAAAATGATGTCTTAGTTTGGTGTAACTAAAAGCTATCTGGCTTTTTCCTCCTGCTCCATAGCCACCATCTTCTAAAACAAGATCTCACTTTAGGACAAAAAAACATGAGCAATGTTTTGCTCATGTGCCCTGCCTGCTCAACCCTGCTCCGGCTGACCCACCTTTCTGCTCACCTTTCTCCTCTCCTTGTCCTGACAGCCAGGGGCTTTGAACTTGAAGGGGATTCCTTAGTGGTGGGCAGAGTAGGAGGCAGCAGGGATGGAGCTGAGTGTCACCCAGTGACTTCATTAGCCAGCTCGAAGGAGTTGTCAGTAGATAAGACCTAGCCCAGGGCCAGGGGGAATGATTTGGGTGCAGGCTGCCAAGTTCCAGGTAAGAAGCCCTGACTGCCGACACAGTCTTTCTTTCTTATTCCACTTTGTGGGTTGAAATGGCTCCTCCATGCCACGTTTCAGAACTTCTGTGTCCTCTTGCCTTTCAGATATGTAACATGCTGAATGCCCCTGCAGACGAGTACTTCACATTTCAGGTAACTGCGCCTGAGTCAGGCCTCACCACTCCCGGCCCCTCTGTCCCCAGAGTCTGTCTCATGCCCGGGTGTGACCATTAGGAACACACAGGGCTTGTGCCCAACTCACCCCAGCTGGGCTAGTGGCCACCAAGCAGCAGATTTTTCAGTGAAGTGTAAGAGAGAAGGTGACAGAGGGGCCCTGCCATTTCTCCATTCTCTCCCACTTCTGGTCATCCAGGACAGCAGCAGCGCCTGGCACAGCTCAATAACTGTTCTGGCCTGAGTGGTGGGCTGCCACATCCCATGGCCTCAAGTGCCTCTTGGTGTTTTCTCAGCAGCCTTTGCAGCTCATTGCAACTGTTCTCAGAAAAGAAAATATCTTACTGGGTCCGTAGAGCCTCCCCCGCTGTTAGGCTTGGTTTTTCCAACCTCCCACCCTAGGCAGAGACACAGTTCCCGGGAATCCCCTCCATTCACTGCCAGGTGGGCCGCTGAGCCAGTCCCAGCCCACCCTCTTTTTCTGCCTCCTCAGCTTCCTGCTTGAACCCGGCTGAAGGCCTGGGGGCTCTCTCTTCCTTTCCCAAGTTCATCCAGCTCCTGGAGGGGCCAGCCTGTGGTCTCCACCACTCCTTCCCCACCCGTTATTTCTCCTCACTTGTCATTCCTGTCACCCCCTCCCCTGACCATTGGAGACAAGCTGGCACTTGGCTCTGCAGCCTCTGTTCTTCCTTCTGGCACTTGCTCTGTGTCCTGCTTTTCACAAACATCCACTTGGAACCCTGATCTCAGTCCGGATTAGAGACTGCCCTCCCTGGTGGGTACCACTAGGGTCTGTCTTTCTGTCCCTCTCACATATGGAGCTCCATCTATGCCTGTTCAGAAAAGCCAGCCCTGCCCACCTGGGATGTGAGCGGTGCACCCTCAGGGGGAGGCCCAAACCACGCCCTGGGGAAGCCCGTGCTCGCTGGCTCAGCTGCCTGCATCTGCCTGCTCATCCGGGTGCTTACAGGCACGGAAAGCATGCAAACACCACACGGCTGCATTTGCTCCAGCTCCTTCCTCCTTGCAACTGAAGCCTACTGGTGACCCTGCTGTGCCCAGCCCTGAGCCCCGTATTTATGACAGTTGGATACCAAGAAAGAATGCACATCTGGGAAAGAGACCATGACATTCTAAGCGCTTGGCCTTACACGGTTATTGTCTGCACAGGGAGTGGGAAGGGAGCTGGCCCAGGAGAACCAAGACTGCTTTCTGAGGTTGGAGCCTTGTGCTTTCTCTCCTGCCATGCTGAGGCTGCCACAGGAGCAGCCACAAACATGCTCTGATCACCCTGGCAGAGAGGAGGTGGGGACTTCCCTGGGGCCTTGGGGAGTCCCCACTGTGGGATAAACCTCCAGTCCCCAAGGATCTCCCAGTTCTCCAAGAAACAGCAGTGTGGTGGCCATGAAAGTGTGCTTCTCAGATCTCTGACTGTGGGAAGTGCCCCTGTCCAGGCTGCAGTGTGCACATTTGTGCTGAGGCCGCACTTTCCATGCGCTGTTCCCAGCCAATAACTGAGCATGGAAACCAAAGCAGGCCTGTTCCTGGGAGAAACTAGACTCTCCCACAGGCAACCCTGACCCCAGGAATCTCCTGCAGCCCTACCAGCTGCACGGTGGTTTAAAGCATCCTCTCCTCTAGCTGAAGCCAGCACAGCCGCTCTGCCTTACAGCCCCTGCCGCCTGCCTCCCTCCTTCCCAGCAGGCACTGCCTACAGCACATTCCATAGCGCAGACTCCAGAAGGGCAGCGCCCTCTCCAAACCACCTTCCCATTCTTTACTGCTCAGACCCCAAGCTTCCCTTTCTTTCGCACCTGAGAAATTTGATGGAAGCCAATAGTATCAAAAGAGCTCTCGTGAGAGCAAACCTGCAAAAGGGAGTGGTTCTCAGACTGTGTTCCTTGGGGGCACAATGTGTTAGTTTCCTGTCTATACTGTGACAGATCATCATTCAGTGGCTGAAAGCAACACAAATGTCTTATTTTACAGTGATGGAAGTCAGAATTCTACAATGGGGCATACTGGGCTAAAATCAGGATGTTGGCAGGACTGTGTACCTTTCTAGAGTCTCTAGGGGAGAGTCCATCTGCTGGCCTCTTCCAGCTTCTTGTGCTGCCTGCATTCCTTGGCTGGTGGGCCCTTCCATCTGCAAATTCAGCAGCAGCATCACTCTGGCCTTTCTTCTGTCACCACATCTCCTTCTCTGATTCTGACTCCAGCTTCTTTTCTACGTTTAAGAATCCTCATAATTACATCGGGTCCCCCTGGAAACTCCAGGGTAGTTTTCCTATGTTACAATCAGCAGATTAGCATCTTTAATTCCATCTGCTATTTTATTTCCCCTTTGCCACATAAGATAACTTATCCACAGGTTTCAGGGATTAGGAAATAGACATCTTCATCTTTGGGGTGGCCACAGTGTTTCTTGAAATAGACTAAGATGTCTTCCTTTAACATCAGTTAAAGTGATTCAAATCCATGGGGAAAAAAGTATATAGAATTTTCTCAGTTTTAAGGTTTTTTCCTTTTAATTTTTCTCAAATCTTGGGTTTCTTCTGTGACTTTTCTGTCAACAAGCTCTGACTAATGGCAAAACACCCGAATAGTAACAGGCAGTAAATGAATATTTACTAAACCAGAGAAGCAGTTAGGAAAGCTTATTTTCGAGGCTTTAAGAAATATACATGGGTATTTATGGTTGCAAAGTTATTTTGCACAGGTGATATATTTCCTGTTATTGATCTTGTCCCCAGTCTATATGATGATAAAAGTATATAAATATTTCTCAGCGTTTTCCAAGTGTGAAGGCTATTGGAATACAAAGATATAATACTACATCTTTTTTCTAAAGCTTTGACTATTAGGACAAATGAGATTTGGATTCCCCTCTTTCCATTCCCAGTATAAATACTAATAATACATAAGAAACAAGTTACTTATATTACTTGTTTATATCATAAACAATTGTTCACTGAGCTCCCAACACATGTTCAGCATTGTTCCATCATGTATGTGAAGCTTAACTTTATGGAATAGTCCTGGCACTTTGGTAAGTTTAGAAAATATCCTTATAGACCCAAATCAACAATTCTGAAACACATAGAAAATATCCAAATGCTAAATTGTGTGGCCCAGGCTCCAAATGCTGTTAGAATTTCAAAAAAGTTTCATATAGACTTGAAGAGTTAGAGAAGGGTTCATGGGAAGAGCAAGGCGTCACAAGGGCATCTATGAATGACAAAATAACCTAAGGGAAGCCGTAAAGAACAAATACTGTGATGTGGTGTGTTGAGTACTTGGCTGCATTGCCTTAGCCCCCTACTCTGCAGATGCTACACTATGGTGGAGAGGACATAAGAATTACCTGGGGAGCTTATTTAAGACGCATGCCCTGAGACCATGAAACAAGCTAAAAGGAATCTAATGCACAGGGTTCTTTAGACACACTTTGAGAAACATTTCTAAACTTTTGTGCTCCATTCACTCTCTAGATTATAAGCATCTTGAGGGTAGAACCCATGATTTATTCATCTTTGTACCTTCAGCAATGGACTCAGTTCCTGGCCTCATCACAGGGGCTTGAAAGATGTTTACTAAACTCAATGCACCATAGAACAAGACTATCTCGATGGATCAGTCAGGAAAACAGAAACCACCTAGGTATTTCAATAGAGAGAATTTAACATAAGGAATTAGCTAAAAGCAGGTATTGGGGGACAGAAAAAGTGAGAAGGAAACAGTCAGGTAACATTGGGTAAGAAGGGCTTTCCACCCTCAGTCTGGGGGAACAAAAGAAAAAGGTTAGAGTTGTCAGAACACAGACACGTGGTTCTAGTACACCCGAATGGATGTTCTACAACATCGTGTAGTCCTAGCCATGTTCTGGAGCAAAGTTGAAATTGCACATCTAACAACAGAAGATTATTCGTTCTTTAAATTAAAGATAAAGTAAATAATAGGTGGTTGAGGGTTGGCTATAACGAGGTAGTACAAGGAAGCTTGGGGTGATGGAATAGCTTTGTACCTTTTTTTTTTTTTTTGAGATAGAGTCTCACTCTGTTACCCAGGCTACAGTGCCATGGTGTCATAGCTCACAGCAACCTCAAATTCCTGGGTTCAAGGGATCCTCTTGGCTCAGTCTCCTGAGTAGCTGGGTCTATAGGCACCCACCCCTACACTAGGCTAGTTTTTCTATTTTTAGTAGAGATGGGGTCCTGCTCTTGCTCAGGCTGGCATATCTTGATCCTAATGGAGGTTGAAAATCTAAACAAGCGATACATTTGCATAGAGCTACATGTACACACCCTACACACAAATAATGCCTATGAATCTGGTAAAATCCAAATAGGCTCCATGAAATGTATGTCTGTTTCCTAGTTTTGATATTGTACTATGGTTACACCAGATGGTACAAGATATACTGTAGTTACCATGCGGGAAGGGAACTGGATGAAGGGCACATGGGAACTCTGTACATTTCTTTGGCAATATCTTATGAATCTGCAATTATTTCAATATAAGAAGTTACAAAAAATAACCTAAGTCCCCTTATTGTTTGCAGAAAGGACCTGTAGACGAAACCGGCTGGGTCATTAAAAATGTTTTGTCCCTGCCTATTGTCAACAAGAAAGAAGATATTGTAGGAGTTGCTACATTTTACAACAGGAAGGATGGAAAACCTTTCGATGAGCATGATGAACACATCACTGAGGTAAGTGCAGTAACAGAATAATGGAAGTAGATGGAATTCACAGAATAACAGCGGATATGTAATTATTATTCTGTAGTGATATTTTGAAGACAATTAAGACATGAGTCACCCATAGCTGTAACCAATATGTTGTTACTTTGTCATTTCTGTCTCCTGACTTCTATAAAAACGGTACCATTTTCTGCCAAAGGACAAAATTTTGGCTTAACCAAAATTCTGTGTAATAATACGCGAGTGGGAAAGATTTTCCTCTTCTTTCTTCCCCTCCTCTTTTCTATTCCCTCTTTCTTATTCTTAACCCCAGCCCTGCAATTTTTAGGTCCTGCTTGATTATATTGGTGTTTGCAATTCCTCTCTCCCAATAAAGTACATATCTGTGGGTCATGGTACCCTTGGAAAAGCAAGAGCTCAGCCAATTTCATTGTCTGAGGCTAATTGTCTGCGGCGTGTTTTTCTTGTATTAAAATAAGGACCTGGATTGACAGTGAGGGATTGATAGGAAAGCAGGTAGATTGTTGCCTCCAAATTAGTTTTTTTAACTTTAGAGAATCTGAATCACCTCTTATGCATTTCAGACTCTCACACAATTTCTTGGATGGTCTCTTTTAAATACTGACACCTACGAGAAAATGAATAAGCTAGAAAACAGAAAGGACATTGCTCAGGAAATGCTCATGAACCACACCAAAGCCACTCCTGATGAAATTAAGTCTATTTTGGTAAGTGGGGAATTCAGTCCTGTAGACCTTAGGTGGTATCTAACTGGAGCTTCTGGAAGTCACCTAATTACCGAGGGGTCTGACAAATGAGAATTAGGTTTAATCCTGGGCTCAGAGGGAGCCAGAGAAGGAGAAGGTGGAAGGAGATAGGGATGGCCCAGTGTGCACAGACCCTTATGGGTGTGTGGGCTGCTTGGTTGGAATAGCACTTTGTTACAAAGAGCTCCCTGGGTCCTTTGGGAGCTAGAGTAGTGATGTCTAACAAAGAAAAAAATGTATCAGGCAGCTACTGTCACATAATGCTGTATAACAGCTATTACATCTCAGTGGCATATGATACTAAGCCTCTGTCTCATTCATGCATGTATGAGTTGACCAGGTTTTGATCAGCCTTGGCTAGGCTTGACCTCAGTCTGTGAATGGGTTTGCTTTGTTGTGTCTCTCATCATTTCTTGAGCCAGCAGCTACCTGATAGATCTTCTTCTCACATTGATGACAGAAGTACAAAAGAGCAAGCTCCATTGTGCAAACAGACTTGAAATTTTTGCTCACATCACATTCACGAAAATTCTCATTAGCCAAAGAAAGTCACATCACCAAGGCCAGCGTCATGGATGACAGGGGAGCAAACGGATATTTGCTAACCGTGTTCTACTCACCACAAAATGAAGAGACAATATCACGCACTGACTATCTCTATTCCTTTTATTTCCCCAGTGTGTATAGGTTTGGTTTTATTGGTGTGAGGTTTCTTTGTTTGTTTTGGTTTTTACTTTTGCTAAGTGGTTTGAGAGTTCAGAGAAATTCAGTTTGAGAGTTTGAGATGTTAAACAGCAGAGGGTCTGAGAGGAACAGAGGAAATTGCTATAAGCTAATAGGAAAACAAATGTGGGGTGGGGCACTGTGGCTCACAGGCATGATCCTGGCACTCTGGGAAGCTGAGATGGGAAGATCCCTTGAGTTCAGGAGTTTGAGACCAGCCTGAGCAAAAGTGAGACCCTGTCTCTACTGAAAATAGTAAAATTAACCAGGCATGAAGCAGGAAGATTGCTTGAGCCCATGAGGTTGCTGTGAGCTAGGCTGAGGCCATAGCATCCTAGCCTGGGCAATAGCGTGAGACTCTGTCTCAAAATAAATAAATAAATAAATAATAAAAATAAAACAAAAAATGAATTAAAAAAAGAAAGCTACTTGTTTCTCTCTCTCTCTCTTTCTCTTCTTCCTTCCTTCTCTCCACCTCTCCCTTCCTTCCTTCCGTTCTCTTTTTAAAATGCAGCCACTTTGGGAGAAATAAAAAACCAATTATTTTAGATTATTTATTGGAAAAAACTCTTCACAATCAGTGCTATCCATCTTCTGTGTATCTAGAATGCATCTGTGTCATAGAACTTATCGTAGCATGTGTTAAATATTACTTAACTGATTCTAACAGTAGAGAAATCAGATAGAAATCTCCTTCAGAGGACTTCACACCTCAATTGCTTTTACATTTTAGAAATTTAAAGAGAAGCTAAATATAGATACAATTGAAGACTGTGAAGAAAAACAACTTGTCAAGATTTTGGTAAGTGTTTTCCTTCTATCCCTAATGCCTTTTGAATAAAATACATTAGGGCGTGCTTTCTTGTTCTTCAAGGAGATATTGTTTCCTTTTCCCTGACATCTTTCAAGACTAAAAAGAAAGAAGAGGGGCAGCACCTGTGGCTCAAGGGAGTAAGGCACCGGCCCTGTATGCTGGAGGTGGTAGGTTCAAACCCAGCCTCGGCCAAAAACCGCAAAAAAAAAAAAAAAAAAAAATTAAATTAAATTAAATTAAAAAAATAGAAAGAAGAGGCCAGGCATGGTAGCTCATGCCTGGAACCCTACTGGGAGGGCAAGGTGGGTAGATCTCCTGGGCTCAGATGTCCTAGACCTGAGTGAGATCCCGTCTTTGCTACTAAAATAAAAAGAAAGAAAAAAGAAAAGAAAAAAATAGAAAAATTAGCCAGGCATCATGGCGGGCACTTGTAGTTCCAGCTACTCAGGAGGCTGAAGTCAGAGGATCTCATGAGCTCAGGAGTTTGAGGTTGCTGTGAGCTATGATGCCATTGCACTCTACCCAGGGGACAAAGGGAGACTCTCTCAAAGACAGAAGATACCTTCTAAAACTTGATCTCCTGATTCCCCTGATCTTCTTCATCGTCATCCCTTAGAATCTAATGCACACAGATAAGTTAGAATCGCAGCTAAGCAGGACTGCTGCACACGGGGTTCCAGGCACAGACTGGGGCTATCATGGCCTTGTTGATTTTAGCAGCTTTGCATTGCACCATGGGCCCCCCAGAGGACATTGCAGAGTTACAGTGGCACACAGACTCTCCTAGGCACAGTCACCATCTGCCCATTTCAGCTTCTCTTCCAGAGTCTGAAGAAATTCATTATTTCTGGTATCACTGTTAGGCCAGCCCTGTCACTTCTGGTAGAAATTAACTTCTCTTCCATTTTACTGCTTCGGTCTTTTACTGTGTCCAGGCTACTGTTAAATTCATTTAGTAAGTTCTTAACTTCAAAGATATTCTTTTTCAGTTCTAGAACGTACATTTCATCTTTTTCTTTAAAGGTTCCAAAGGTTCCAAAGGTTTCATTCTGTTCAAACTGTCCATCATTTTATCTGCTTTGACTATCTTTCCGTGTATTTTTAAAAATTTATTGATTGTAATTATTTTAAAGTACTCAATACCTGGCTCACCTGTTGATCTAGTTCTACATTTTTTTACATTTAGCTTTCAATCATTTGATCCAGGCTTTTTAAAATTAAAAGCCAGATATTGGAGATAAAATTTTGTATGGACTCTGAGTGATACTGTCTTTCTGAAAGAGGGCTAGATTTTCTTCTGGCAGATGAGGAGAGTTGATTTTAGATTTTTTTAGAGATGGATGATCTTTTTGCATTTTATCCTTACGACAGGGTAGAGCCCTTATTTCTAGAGTGTGGCTCTTCTGGAATCCCATAAAATCCTGGGATATTTACCAAGGCTCCTGGACCTTTCATTTTAGAGGCTTGAATTCCATCTGATTGAATTGAAATAATATCACGTGTAACTGTCGTTAGCAGCTGCATTCTGTTTTCCATTGTCTGTGATGTAAGAGTTCTTTCTAAACTAAGGCACATGACCATCTCACTTTCCGCCTTCCCATCTTTAATGGGCTTTGTCTTCCCACTACGGTCCTGAGCTCTGCTGCCATTTTAAAGCCTTTGACCCCTTTTTGAAGGCTCAGTTCCCATCCTCCTTGTCACCTGCTGCTCTCCCTTCTTCCACATTCCTTGGCTCCCCCACTCCAAGCACCTGTCATCTCAGTCTGGCCCAGAGGACAAAGTTTCCTTCTCCTCACCAGCTCTTGATAATAGACACTAAAAATTCTTTAGCAGTAAAATGGGCAGAGGACCTGTAAACTTATCAAAATAATAGCTATCTTGAATGTAAAATCTTCTGGGCTAATCCCTAATTATTCCTACAAAAAACTTAGGAACTTAAACAACAAACACATATTTCAGGGGAGATCTCCAAAATGATCCTGGTATCATTTCTCAGCTACATGATTATTTATCTATCTCCACTCACCTCATTCTTTCTCCAGGTGTGCCCTTTAATTTTAGGTTCAGAGAAGGCTCGGTCTTCTTTTCGAGATGTAATGAGAGTGCTGTGTCTCTGTGCTGGGTCTCTGTGCTGGGAAGGATAGGAGTGGCAAAGCCCAGACTCAGGCAAAGGAGGTGACAGAAGCCCTCCTTGTCCTGCTTACTAACAAATTTCCAGTCATTCTCGGATGTACTCTAGCTAACATTTACCACACTATAAAAGATTTGGAGGGGATTTCCAAGAGAAGGGACTCAGTCCCTCATCCTTTATCATTTTAGAATTTATTCAGTAATTATTGAGATAATTATAATACAAGAAACAGTGTTAAGTGCTGAGGAGGAAAGATCCTATGATCTGGTTCTTACTGGGTTCCAGAAACCCCTGTGTATTAGGGACACAAAGGCAAAGTTAGTCCACTGCCTTGCATGGACATGCTCACGGGGCAAAAGTAGGGGGCTGATTTCACTTAGAGAAGATGGCATAGTCACAGAGTTGATAGCTGGGGCGTGGAGGCTTGTCTTGGCTCTGAGTGTTATCTTAGGAAACCAAAGACAGCTGGGTGTGGCTGGAATCTCAGCATGCAGAGGAGAGAGGCAGGAGGGCATCATGCCCAGCCTGGCACACCGGGACCCTGGACTGGATGTTCCTGGGGACCCTCTGAGAACAGATGGAGCCAGGCAGGCTGGAGGCAGGAGGCTGGGAGGGGGGCCCTTTACTTCCAGGAGGATGTCAGGATCATTTGGACAGCATTTCCTCCTCCACTCAGCTGAGCGACTCCTGCAAAAAATGAGACTGACTCCTTTCTCCTGACTCCCAGCCGTTGCTTACAGAAAAAACCATCTCTGCCGAGAGTGACCAGTTTGAGAGTGGTGTGCTAGGGGATGTAGACAGGGATCACTGGATCACAGGTGGGGACAGAGCAAGCTTATGAGGTCCAGCTCAGGCTCGGGGCCAGGGGACCAGAAACTGTCATTTTGTTCCAAACAGCCATGTGTACCATTTGGTGTGGAAATTTGTATACAGCATGAACTATCTGTTCCTTGGGAAACCTTAAAGTTGGTAAGGGAAGTCACCGCATTTCCCTTCTTTTGTGTCCTCCTCAGCACAGAATCAAAGACACATCTCACCCCCAGTAAATGCCATTGTTCCTGCAGGTCCATCTGGTAGACCCGGGTTGCCAGCTCTTGCCTCTTGCTGCTTTGTCTTCCCCCACAGAGCCATCACGCACGCCCCTCCAGAATCTCTCCTCGCTTAAATTCCCCAGCCTGTCCTTGGGCATTCAGTTATTGCCTTAGCACTGAGCACTAAATTCTGTGCGCTCTGATCATTCTAAGCTCGCACCTTTCACTGGTCTATAATTCCATAAGGACAAGAGTCATATTTTTTTATTTTTCAAGTCATGTGCTTAGTTCACCAATTTTTCACACCCTCCTAAATCCTAAGCAGATGTGAACTGAATGAAACGTCTGCAAGTATACCTACCCACTGCGAGTATATTATACAACGAAATGTTTGTTCGCTCAACACACATTTCCCGAACAGCTTCACAGGACAGGCGTGGCGGGCTGTGGGATATGGCAGCAAATCACTGTGTGATCTCTGCCCTGTGGAGATCCCAGTCTAGTGGGAAACCAGCACAGAGCATATCAGCTAAAGAAAAGGCAGAGAACGGGGTTCAGTGGTCACCTTTTTACTGAATATTCCTGGAATAGGAGAAAAGGAGTGGAGTGTTGAAAAGAAGCAATGCTGTGGTAGCTAAACAATTTATTTCACACCACAGAAAGAAAACGGCTACCAATGTTAGATTTGGGATGAACTTGGATTTTCATTACTTAGAAAGTTTTTTATAGCTAAGAGTCAGTTTCACCACCTGTAAAATGGGGATAATTGTGTGGATGGGTTGAGGGGATGATCTATGCAAACTATCCCTGTGCCTGGCACACAGCAGCTCTGTGAATTGCACGTAGTGTAAAATTATACATATATATAATTTTTTTTTGTAATTTTGTTTTACAAAAAAACAAAAGTTGGATGTGGGGAGTAAAGGGGAGAGAGAGGAGTGTAATCAGAAACAATCCAACCTTATTTCAACAGGAGGAGGACTTGCCGGACCCCAGGGCGGTAGAGCTGTATGAGTTCCGCTTCAGCGACTTCCCCCTTACGGAGCAGGGGTTGATTCAGTGTGGACTACGACTGTTTTTTGAAATAAATGCAGTGGAAAAGTTCAAAGTCCCTGTGGAGGTCAGATAGTATTTTATTTAGACTACTGTGTGATTCTGGTGCTCTACTTCACACCAGTTTTTCTGTGGCTCAAAAGATTGACTTCCTTTGAATTTTAAATTATTATTAACTTTGTAAACACATCATCAAAAGTTCAAAGTCCCTGTGGAGGTCAGATAGTAGTTTATTTAGACTACTGTGTGATTCTGGTGCTCTACTTCACACCAGTTTTTCTGTGGCTCAAAAGATTGACTTCCTTTGAATTTTAAATTATTATTAACTTTGTAAACACATCATCAAAAGTTCAAAGTCCCTGTGGAGGTCAGATAGTAGTTTATTTAGACTACTGTGTGATTCTGGTGCTCTACTTCACACCAGTTTTTCTGTGGCTCAAAAGATTGACTTCCTTTGAATTTTAAATTATTATTAACTTTGTAAACACATCATCAGCTCAAACCCTGTAAACAAGACCAACACACCTTTTTAGATAAGATCATCACACAGACCTTCTAACCTTTAGAATTCTATTCCAAAGTCTGAATGGCGTTGTCTCCTGTTGGAAACAGGTTCTCACCAGGTGGATGTACACGGTGAGGAAAGGGTACCGCTCCATCACATATCACAACTGGCGCCATGGGTTCAACGTGGGGCAGACCATGTTTACTTTGCTGACGGTAGGTGCAGAGTGTCACAGATCATTATAAACCTGCAATTTTCCCCCTCTAGGGTGGTGAGAGACGGATATGCCCATCATTTTAGATCAGTGATTTTTGAAATTCCTGGCACAACCCCCGTGCTGATGATCCCTGGGAATGCGATATCCCCAAGCACCTGGCTGGATTATCACTCAGACACTCATGCTTACCTTCTTAGAGGAAAATTCAGTCACCTGCTGAATTTGTAATTGCCCATGATGTCACAATATTCAGAAGGAATGAAGCCAACCTGCTCAAAGAGCAAGGTGGTTCTGCGGTCTATTGCAGGCAGGTGTTGCTGCACTTGGTGCAGAGGGGCATCAATCCAAGCAAATACAGATGTGTGCTGTGTCTATATGATGTATACACACACACACACGTACATCTTTTATTTTAGACAGGAAGACTGAAGAAATACTACACGGATCTTGAAGCCTTTGCCATGCTCGCTGCTGCCTTCTGTCATGACATCGACCACAGAGGCACCAATAATTTGTACCAGATGAAGTAAGTGAACACATGTGCCACGTTGACATGTGCTGCTGGGTGTGTGACGGGGCCTCGGAGTGACAAGAAAGCTTTCCTGCCCCTCAGCCCAGTGAATTCCTCTTGGTCACATTTAGGCATCTAGGGCCACGTTCTGACCACATTCTGTTCCCTCCTGAGCTTCCACTCTCGTGATAACTTCTGCTCTTTCTCCCTAGGTGCACATGCCCTTTCCTTTCTGCTTCCATTCCCAAATGTACCCCTGCCTCATTCGTATGCACCTTCAGTCTTTCTCCTTTCAACCTGGCTTAGTCAGAGGGTTGGCTTCATGTATTAAAGTGCATTAGTCTCAGGCTTATGCTTGTACACACCATGGAACATTCTACTCAAGCCAGTAAACACTGTTCTGGGACTCACTTCTCTTCACTTCTCTGGTCCTCTTGCTTCTGTGAATTCTTCTTCAGCCAATCTTGCAACTTAGCACTGATGCCATTGTCTTCTCTTGCCCCCCAAAGAAAGAGCAATGAGAAGGATGCAGGCTCTGAGCTCAGACAGATTTGGATTCACTAGGTTCATAAGTTATTTAAATTTTCTTTTTCTTTCCTCTTTCTTCCTTCCTTCCTTCTTTCTTTTTTTGACAGAGTCTCACTTTGTCACCCTTAGTACAGTGCTGTGATGTCATAGCTCACAGCAACCTCAAACTCTTGGGCTCAAGAGATCCTCTTGCCTCAGGCTCCCGAGTAGCTGGGTCTATAGGAGCTTGCCACAACACCTGGCTATGTTTAGAGTCTTACTCTTGCTTAGGCTGGTCTTGAGCTCCGGAGCTCAGGCGATCCACCCGCTTCAGCCTCCCAGAGGGCTAGGAACTGATACAGGTTCTAGGCATTTAATAAGTATTAGGTATTGCTATTATAACTGTTATAATTATGTCATTGGCACTCTTCAGTAGCTCCTTGAAAATGGTTTTTAAGATACTCAGTCTGCCTTGGCCACACTTCATCCTGATTTTTGACACACCACCCACCCCTCTCCAGAGGCAGTGAAGTGTTAGGGAGACACTTTTGAGTCTGGGTGGGTGGGACCAACTTCTTCCTGGTTGAGGGATCTTGGGAAAGTCAATCTTTTTGAGATTCAGTTTCTTTGCCATGAAACGGATATCTCTACTTCTCAAAGTTATGAGAATCAAATGAAATTATGTATGTGAAACCTACCTAGTAAGTGCTCAAGAAAAATGTATCTGATGGATGAAATGTACCTTGTAAGCAGTGACTCTCACCTTTAGCTATTCTTACCTATTGGGCTTTGTCTTAAAAGGAAGATGGCCACCCAGGCTTTGGGCAATAGACATCTCCATCTGGAAAGGTTCCAGCCCATGCTGGACATTCTATCCTCTTGAGCGTAAGTCCCCTGACAGTCATCGAAGTTCTCTTCCTCCTTTCTGATCAGTTGTGTATTAGCCAATTCAGTTCCAAAGTAACAAACACTTGTTGAACATCTATAGTGTGTTAGTGATCAAGCTAAGAACTTGATACCGAGGGTGAAGAAACACCTCAGAAAAATGAAAGTCTTTCTTTCTTTTCTTTTTTTTTTTTTTTGGTAAAACCAGAACGTCACTTACCACCCTCAATAGAGAGCTGTGGCATCACACTGCTCACAGCAACCTCCAATTCCTGGGCTTAGGTGATTCTCTTGCCTCAGCCTCCCAAGTAGCTGGGACCACAGGTGCCCGCCATAACGCCTGGCTATTTTTTTGTTGCAGTTTGGCCGGGGCAGGTTTGAACCCACCACCTTCGGCATATAGGACTAGGACCCTACTCACTGAGCCACAGGCACTGCCCCCAAAGGTCTTTCTTTATAGTGATTTTCATCTTGGTTCCTGGAAACTCTTTTTTTTTTTTTTTTTAGACAAGGTCTTGCTGCTCTGTCTCCCAGGCTAGCATGCAGTGGCAGTGCTATCAATCTCTAACCTCTGGACTCAAGCAATCTCCCTACTTTGGCTTCTCAAGTAGCTGGGACTACAGTCGTGCACCACCACACCCAGCTAATTTTTCTATTTTTTGTAGAAACAGGGGTCATACTGTTGCTCAGGCTGGTCTCAAACTCCTGGACTCAAGTGATTCACCTGCCTCAGACTCCTAGAGTGCTAGGATTATGGGCTTGAGCCATCATGCCCGGCCTGGAAATTCTTAGTGAATACTTTCTACACGGATAACCAATGGGCTTCCACAAGATTGCTCTATGTTTTATGTCATAGTCCACCTCCAAAAGCTCCAGGAAACTTAAAGATTTTAGATACAAGGAATAAATCAAGCTTCCTCGTTTAAACAAGTCAATCAGTTCTACATTCCACAAATTAGTCATTTTTCAAAAAAAAGCATATTCCCATCTTCTAAATCTAAAAGTAAGTTTCCGATATGTTATTTTTGACCACTTTGCAGATATTGGGTGGGGAAGGAGAGGGGAGATGTTAAAAATTCCTGAGACAGTAAAGACCCTGTCTTGTACAGACTTGTGTGTAATTTCTAACCAGCTAAGATTGTGGCCCATCCTTTCTCTCCAGGTCCACCTCTCCATTAGCCAGGCTTCACGGGTCTTCTATTTTGGAGAGGCACCACCTGGAGTACAGTAAGACTCTCCTGCAGGATGAGGTATGTGAGCCTCTCTTTAGGGCACCTCACAAGTTCTACACCAAAGCACTAAACCACAGAAAATGCTTGGAAAAGGGTGGCCTTGAGACAGTAGTTGACACTGTGTGTCTTTATCAAAGTCAGCTGATAGGAACTGCTATATGGAAATAGCTTTTGAATCACCAGGTTGGAAGTAGCTGTGACAGGTGGAAAGAGCCGAAGAAAGTCATGGATTCTCTGTGGGTCTGTGGGGAAAGAAAAAAGGAAAAGCTTATGGTGGATGTGACGGGCTCTGTGAACCTGGAAGCTCATGTAGATGTAAAAAGGAAAGGAGCCCCCATGGCCACTGGTTTTCCTATTCACTCCTGGTGAACACAGAGAACATGGTCCACGCCTTTGAGAAAGTCAGGTCTTGGTAGTGGAGATAGGCGTGAATCAGTTATGAGACAGAATGGGACAACTGCCATCAGAGAGGTACTGAGTCATGCTCTGTGACTTCCTGAGGGAGAAAACACATTCACAGGAGGCCCACAACAGGGGATGGGGCCAGGGGATGGAGACAGGGCAAGGGATGGGATCAGAGATGGCTTAATACAAGAGTGGCTTTGAGCCCCTTGAATTCACTGTGACTTGCACAGATTAAGTACTACTAACCTCCCACAAGGGGCAGTCATTCTTTTCTCCTTTATTGGCTTTAGTGGAGGGATATATTATGGACATGTGGAAAAGTTGTAGATAGAATCTTCCCTTTTTTTTTTTTTTTTTTT